CTCTGGAGGTCTTCAAAACCCACCCAGATGCCACCCTGTGCCACATGCTCTAGGTATGCCTGCTTGAGCAGGAAGGTTGGACTAGATGAYCTGTAGAGGTCCCTTCCAACCTTAAATATTCTGTGAATTCTGTGAATCTGTGAATCTTAAAGGTCCTTTCCAACTGTAATGATTCTGTGATTTTATGACCGATACCATCAAATTGCAGCCATGTTTAAGATGTTTCAGATGGCTTCAGGCAGAGGTGGAAGGCAAGTCCCCAAGTGATCCCCCAGCCATCTCCCCAGTGGCGTTTCCTTTTCCTAACAAAACACATCGAGCTCAGGCACACACAGGCTCTTAGGTCACACTCGAGGCAAGGTGCATGACAGGAGTCATGTCATGCGATGACAGCGTCTGGATGGAGGTGACAGGCTCTGTACCCAGACAAAAGGTTCACAACATCTAGACTGGGCACAAGCAGTAGGGACCTGAGTGAGTGCTGGTGCTACCTCTTTGGTGGCCTGTAGGAAGTCATGGCCAATCACAATTTACACAGGCAACTAAAAAGACCTAAGCAGCCACACTTTTTGTTAAAACTTTGACTAGGTTATGAAGGAGAAGTGAGTGCAAGATGACCTTTGCCAGTGGGAGCTCCTCTTAGCTCGTGCACCGGAAAACATGTGCCAATACTGAAAAATCCTTGTCTATTCTGGAGTGAGGACACCGAAGTCTTGATATATCCTCTGGCAATTCTGCTCAGTGCTAAGAAAAAAAGGCTACTGTAACCTGTCTTCTGGTTCTTTAAAAGTCATTCAAGCTCCTCTTTAAAACATATGCTCACAAGGGCACAGAAAGATCTTTGGTTTTTGCAGAGAGGCACAAATAGAAGAAGCCTTGTCCTGCTGCYGGTAAGTTGCAGGTGATGCTGCCCTTGGGGGCAGACGGTGCATGTTGCAGCTTCAGACCTAACAGGCTTCTCCCACTTTACCAACATAGGCATTTGGACCCTAGAGATGGGGACCTGCTCCTCCACTACCATAGGAAGACTTGGGCACATTCCCAAACTCCTCTGCAGAAGTCCAGTAYGTTATAAATGAGGTGACTGAACTACCCCATCCAGGCTGCAACTTTGGKGCAACAGATCTGAATGCAGGAAGTTAAATTCAGACCTTGAACGGGGCAGCATGAGGTCTTGTAACCAGAAGACTAACCTTTCATATAGGTAAAGCCTACGTGAAAGATGTACAGTTTAGGCTTTACATATGATAGCCTGAACTATGCCTGTGATGATGAACATGAAGYGAGTAGGTGCCTGTGAGTAGGTGCCTGCAAGCATCCCTCCCATGGGAGCTGGAAAGCTGGAGGAGGGCCAGGAGCAGTGAAGCAAAGGGTGACTCCCAGGGAACGGTGGCAATCCTGCTGAGCTGTTTACCAGCAGAGAAGCTCCAGATCCACAGCAAAGCCCCAGCTGTGGCCTCTCCTGAGCCCAGGCAATTGCGCTCAGGTGCTGCTGAGCATCTCTCAGCAACGGCCCAGGGCTGTGAGGCAGCTATAAATGTGCTGAGGGTACAGGAAGGAGGCTGTCTGTAAGGTGTCTGGTACTCATTGGAGCCCTTCTGCTTCTACAGGTGCCTCTAGCATGTTGTTTTTCTCTGGTTTAGGAGTTTAAGATGGAAAAGACTGAGGGGCTGACTGGAGTGTCTTGTTCTGTGAGGTCTGCTAATTTGGTTCCTGCGGAAAGGGCGCTGGTGGGCGGAGGAGAGGTTCTCTTGCAGGCTGGTTGTGGAGGAGAGAGACTGACTCCTCAGTTGTATCTGCCTCACACTATTGAAGTGAGAAGCAGACTCTGTTACATAAAGAGTAGCTGAATGGCCCTSTGTTGTTCTAGGATACTCTTTCTTATGGGGTTTAATCAAATACCAGCTCTGAGGGCTCTAGGCTTCTGTGTATGTGAGGGGAAGGACAGGCTGAGCAGAATTACCAACCTTGGAAGGGTAGTGGGCACAAGAGCAGTTAATGTGCCCATGTCAATAATGCTGTCCTCTTCTTCCCCTGACAAAGCAGGCCAGGGTCAGCTGTGTTTGCTTTCCTATGGTATAATGGATGACTGGGACAACAGCGATGACTTTATCCAGAAGCTGGACTTCTCCAGCTGTGGAGAGGAAAGCGAGGACAGAAGCCTCCAGGAAGAGGACAGCCTGAGCTCGAGCCCTCTGAGGAGCTGCGACCCACACAAGTGGTCCGGGAGCAGCCCCCTCCCGGCCACCCCCCAGAGGAAGCTCAGCGAGATCTTCCTCAGCAGGACTAAGGCCTGGGCCGGCCCTGCCCTGACGTCCTCTCCGTGCGTGAGCAAGAGCCGCGGCAACGTGGAGACACCACTGCACATCACCTGGAAAAAGCTGCAGCTCTGTGACACCCCCCACACTCCCAAGGTAAGGAGAGACCCCCCTCTGCAGCCTTGCTGGAGCTGGCCCCAGGCCCGGGGGATAAGTGGTCTCTGGGGAATGTGTTGACTCTCTTACCCTTGGTAGTCTGTTCCTCTTCTCTCCTTTTGTTTGTCTCTTAAAAATCTGGGCTGCAGGTGCCTTCACTGTGCAACTGGGATTCAAAAATAGAAACCTGTGAGTGGGCACAAATGCCCTGACTCCTCCTGAGCTGTTAGCAACAACTCACTGGCAATAGATAAGATGGGCTTAAGAACCTGAGCCTTACCTGTATTTTGTGTGTTGCTTATCTTTCATTTAAGAGGCTGGACTTGTGTGTCAGCTCTGTAGGAAACATGTGGTCACAGGGGGATAAATGCTTCCCTCTGAGTTTCTGTGACTACCCAAACTAATATTGAAATGGTATTGGAACAGGGATGGCCATATGCAGCATCAGCTGGCTGGAKGAGAATGCAAATATCATTGGGGTGTGAATTTTTGGTGGTGGATTTTTTTTTCCCTTCAGAAATGTGAAGGRGGAAAGTAATCCAAAACATGATAGCCAAGTAAATGCCCTGCTATGAGAGCTGGGCTGCTCTGTGGCTATAAAAACATAASAATATCTTGATCAGTGTGAAGGGAACCTCACAGGGTGAAAAGTTCTRGGTTCTGGGCTTTTTCTTTAGGAGGAAAAAAAAAGGGGGGGTATACTAAACATCCTGTTAAATTCTATTCCATCCCTTTGAAAGAAGCCCAACACAAACTGAAAAAGTGGACTTGTGTTTCCTAAATCTAACTGAARGGATTACACCATCATGGGAAGTAAGCAGGTTTTCATTACTGAAATCAAGACTGGTTCTCTCTCTGAAGTTGTGGCTTATCTTGGCAAAAGCTTGGAGCTGGTAGGTGCAATCCAATGACTTGTCTCCTTGGGAAGTTGGACTAGAAGATCTAGAGGTTCTTCCTCATCCTATTTTCTAAAACTGAAGCTTCTTTCTCAAAAGGAACTATTTTCTGGTCACTTTGCCAATACTGTATGAAGCTGCTTCTACAGACTTCCCCTCTGCTGATACTGCTTATTTCTGGGAAACCAAATGGGATCTGAGTGATGTCCCCTGCAGTTCTCCTGACAAAATTGTCCTCCCCAAGCTGATGTGATAGGTCCAGCTTAGTGGAGCTGGGTCTTCTCCATGAATGCAACTGAGTGTGTGGTGTCTGTGGCTCTGGAGGAGGGAGGGAAGCTGGTTCCCCTCAACTGCATTTGCAGAAATAGCTCTGCAAGCCTCACTCGAGTGAATGGGGAGTGGAGAGCGCCAGGAAGTGCTTGGTGAATAACCTAGCCCATTGTGGAAGGACAGCCAGCTGTCAGGGCTCAATTGGSATACAGGGTTATAATGGCTGCTCCCTCTAGCCTAATGGATGGAGCCAAGCTCTCCTTGCAAATATCTCTGTCTCTTTGTCCCTATGCAAATAGCTTTGTCTCTATTTATAACAGAGCAGATATTCTRTTCTGGAGAATAGAATATTCAGCAGTTCAGCAGCAACAAAAACATTTTGCTGTTTCATCTGCAACTCCTTTATTTATTTTCCACCCACTCCCTCTAATCCAGAGTCTGTTATCGAAGACGGCTTTTCCTTCATCTGGGACAAAGGTCCCGCCCAAAGGATTTCGACATCTGAGGTTTACTCCTGGTGCTGACTCGGATGACTCTACCCAAGCTTCTCATGTCAACATCAACCCCTTCACACCAGAGTCTTATCGACAAATGATTTTTCTTCCTAATGGCAAGCGGAAGGCCAAAGGAGAGCTGTAAGTGAACTTCCAAATAATGGATGGGAAGGAGCCTGTCTGAAGGGGATGAGGAATGAGGGAAACATTTAGTTTCTAGACTTCATTTGCTATGGATGAATTGGATTACTGGTTTTTCTTGGTGCAAACACTTGCAGGTATGTGAAGGTAATAAAGGAGGCATAATAAAGGAGGTAGCAGAACTAAGACCTTCTATCCCATTTTCTGRCCAATGGAAAGACTGTGGAGACTCAGTAGGCAACCTCAGTGTGGGAGGCCTTAGGGGGGAAATTTGAACCTTCTTCCCCACTGGGATGGGTGAACTGGAGTCTGGTTCAGTTGCACACATCCATAACTCAAGACTTGCAGATGTTTATGCATGTAACATAGTTAATAAGTCAGAGCTATTGCTGATCTGCAAAGGCTTTGGTCTGGGGTAACTGAGACATAAATTTAGTCAGGTACCTGAACAATGAGGCTCAGCTTCTTGCAGGACCCCAAACTCTAACAGAACAGACTCCCACCCAGAGAGTCCTTCCAAAGCGTGTTGGGGTKCTCTGCTTCTTGTTGGCAGCTGGATATGCCCCAGAGCTGAGGGGGTGAGCAGAGTGGTGCTACCAGATAATGCTCCCTTAGAAACAGTGCAAGTTGGTGTGTGGAGGCTTTCTGAACAGCAACAAACACTTCCTATCCTGGGGCTACRCTATTTAAGGCAAGAATTGGCACACAGTGAGTCCCTACTCCTCTATAAAATAACTATCTTGTCAAACTGTTAATTCTGATTTTTTTGAAAAATGCTTTCATAGCAAATCTCATTTGGATTGCTGTACTCAGGTGGTACATCTAGACATTCCTAAACTTCTGTTTTAGGAGAGATCCTGATCCAAGAAACCAGGTAAAACAGGAGCTACCTACCAAGGTGAGTGTCCTGCATAATCATCTAGACAGTAAGTTATTTGTAAAGATTTGGTTCTTGATTTTTTTTTCTTTCCCTCCTGTGATTGGAGTTTAAATCATGTCATCCTGACAGGATGAAGCCTGCCCTGGGCAGGAAGAAATCAAAGAGATGAGATGGAATAACTCCAGGCTTGAATGCTTTATGTTCTTATGAGTCAACAAGCTCAGAGGAAACTTGGTCTAGACCTAAGACTCTGAGAATTAATCCTAAAATTAATTCTAAAGCTCATCTATCTTGATCAGGAGGTCTTTCTAATGAAATATAGCACAATTCAGTGTTTGGGGGGGGGAAGTAATGTTATAACTGTAAATAGTGACATGAAGACAGATGTCTTCATGATTGGAAAAAGCAGGTGTATTCCTGTTCCTATTAACTGAGCATCTTTAACTGAGCATCTTTGTGAAAGGAACATGGTTTCCGTATTGCAGATATAGACACACCAAAAAACTGAAGTGCTCTCATGAATAAGTCCTGAGAGCTGAGTTTCATTTGCAGTATTTATGATGGTAAAGGTCTGAAATGAGACAGCAAATTCTTCTGCTCAAGGAGAATAAAGACTTTCCCTGTAGGTTTTGGCAGGTGAGCAGAGATGCTTCTGATTTCTTTGGGAAACTTTGAATAATATTGCTTGCTAGTTGACAATCCTGGCRCTCTTGCACAACAGCTGCCTCAGTAAACTGAGGTGCAGAGTACTGAGGTACTCATGGGAGGCTGGCAGAGGGGAGAATTTGGCTCTTCYTTGCAGCTGAGAGCAGGCAGTGTAAGTGCAGAGCTGCCCGTGCCCCAGTGTAGCAGGTTTGAATAATGTTGCTTTTCACCAGCTGGATATGGAGCCCCGTTCAAGTGAATGAACCCTGGCCTGAGGGGAGCAGCTGTGACTGCCCCTCTGGCTCCACAGGGAAGTCTGGCTGGTGAGGCTGGAAGAGCAGCTTGGTGCATCTGTGCTGGAGTGGCTCCTCACAGCTGGCCCTTTGCTGCTCTGCCCAGGTGGAGGGGTGAGTGGTGGTGGGATCTGTTCCTGCCCACCCCTCYGGGATGCCCGTGTGTCCTGGGGTCTAAGGGAAACCCAACCATAGCTGCTGTAGCTACAGTTCAGCAACTACTCAGTCCTAGCAAGAGTTGTGTGCTCTGATGCCAAGGGGTACCTGTGCCTTGCTGATAAAACTCCATGCTTGGACATGTTGGAGATGGTGCTTCCCAGCCCATGCTGGTGCTTCCTGCACCTTCCACTGCTCAGTGGTGCCAGAGCTGGGCTGCTGGCCCAGGCACCTCTGCCTCAGCCTGCCCTCTGCCTCCTGGTGAGATCTGGAGGCAGCTTCTGCAAAGCAAGCCAGGTGATTGCATGACTCTGTCCAGGTGAGACAAACACCACATGTTTTTCTCCTTTCAGCCCYTGATGTAGGTATTTCCCTATCTTAGAGCAGGTAGGTAGAATTGTTTGCACCTTGTATGTGTAAAATACTTGGATTTACTGGAAGAATAGTAGTACCCTCTAGCTGTGGAAAACCAATATTGCAGTGGTGCTGCCYTGAGGAAGGGAGCTACAACTGCACAGTAAACCTGTGCCACATCCAGGGCTAYTGCAGTTCTTTATAAGAAAGGCTCAAATAACTTCATATTTCTRTGGTTCAGGGCTGATAATAGGATAGTGCTCTTGATGGGTGAATACCTGTTTAATGAGTGCTTATTACTGCTCACAGGTGTAAAATCATGTGCTGGGAGGGGGTGCCTGTTTCTCAAGAGCTGTTAAGATGCTGTAAGATGTATCCTCCTTGTGAAACGTGGTGTGTGATGGGCTGCTCTCCCTGTGGGCTGACTTTGAGGACCGGCTCTTTTCTTGCTACCTCMAAGTTCCTATCAATTCTGCCAGCAGCTGTAGCAACTGCTTGTGTGGAAGCCACTGCGTAACGAGTGCCCATCGCTGCAGGTGATGGGAAGTCACTTGCTGCATTCTTGTGGGAGCACTTCATGCTCTGCTGCTTGTCTCTTGACCCATTTCCCCCACTGGCAAGGCATCCCTCCACAGGGGTTCAGCACCTCCTGTTTCCCCAGTGAACATTGCCAGAGCAACAAATAATCTTCCAGCTGTTCTGCAGCCTTTTAGATGTTTATGTGGAAAGTGGCACCCACGGAGTGGGGAAGTAGCTGGGAATACAAATGGATGCACTGAGGCTGGCTGATTTGCCAACAGCTGGTGCTTCYGAGCAGAGCTTGAGTCGGTGCGAGTGGCACTTGTGCCTGCAGCTTCAGCAGCCAGGATAAGGCTGCTCTTATGTGGCTGGGGCCACATTAAGCTGAGGTACCAAGCCTCCCTACTCCCCCATGAGCTCAGAACATGCAGTATTTCAAACCCCAGCTCAGCAAATGTTTGGGTAATGCCTCAAGAGTGTTCAAGAAGTTATAAAATACTGTCTTATGAAATATAGCTTGTTGTGATGGGTTTCTGTTTTCTTCCTGTTCTGATTTCTACCCAGTTCAGAGCAAGCAGTGAACTGAAATGAAGCTCTGAACTTCCCTAGCCATCTGATACATTCTCTATTCTTCTGTCCTCACTGGTTTCCCTAGCCATAGGGCTGGGAATTGAACAGGATTGCAAAGGGATGTGATGGGGTAGTCCAAGGAGGATTACATCCATGYAGCCAGCTAGGATATTGTTCTCTACTCCTTAGCTGCTCTAATTCTGTGGCTAGTGAGTCATGATTTTAAAAATAAAACCATCTTGATTTCCTTTTTTCCTGGGGCTTTTGATAGGTGACCAGAAAGAGCACCACATCCCTAAGGAGAAGGTGGTGTTTTGAAAGACAGACAGCATTTCTGCAGGCGTGTGTGGATGAATACATCCAGAACAGCAAGAAGGGCCAAAATAAGTGTCCTGCGTGGGCAAATGCTGTGCAGGTTTAGGAAAAAAATGACAGATTTTATTATCTGAATCTTTAAACTCACACTGCTGTCTCTGCTTCTGATGTGATCTTCTAGAGATACCCTCTGAAAGAGAGCAATATGGTTTCCCGCTACAAGAAGGAGTTCCTGGAACTGGAAAAGATTGGTGTAGGGGAATTTGGCTCTGTCTACAAGTGCATCAAGCGCCTTGATGGGTGTGTTTATGCCATCAAACGCTCCAAGAGGCCCCTGGCAGGATCTTCAGATGAGTGAGTGTGGTAGCTGGAAGCTGCTGGTGGAAATGATGGGCATGTTCTTGGGAGTTGTGATGGGGAAGGATGGAGCGTGGGTCTAAAGGTAGCTGAGTAAAACTGYTTGCTGTTACTCCCCACGTAACAGTTGGGTGGGTGAAGAAAGTTACTGCTTCAGACCAACTTAAAACAAATATCTGAGAAAGGCAGGAAGTTGCATGTATTGCTAAGTGATGCAGCTGCTTACCCGGACTGCTCTGACCCTTGCAGCAAGCCTGTTCTGAGGCAGTAACTGTCCAAGATGTAATCTGTGATACTTTGCTGTCCTACTGCCCAGCCAGGACTGCTCACATCTGCATTGTCCTTGTCCAGCTTCCATTGTGTCCCAAGCATGACACACTGGCAATCTTTGAAGCCCTCTATATGTATTCAGTGATTTATTCATTTTCAACAGCCACTCAGCAAGCCTGATATGGGATTCCTGAATGCTCTGCTCTTTCCTAAGCCGGGCTATAAAGCAGGGCTGTGCTCCGCTATGCGGTGGGCCGGCGGTGACGGCTCTTTCCGTGCTTGTTTCCGCAGGCAGCTGGCGCTGCGCGAGGTCTACGCGCACGCCGTGCTCGGCCACCACCCGCACGTCGTGCGCTACTACTCGGCGTGGGCCGAGGACGATCATATGATTATCCAGAACGAGCACTGCAAYGGTGAGAGCTGCGGCTGTGCCGGGGGGAGGCACTGGGGTGGCTGCAGCCGCCTTGGCTTGTACCAAAACAAGGGGGCTTTGGCATCTGGTGAAGCTTTGGTTTCTGATGGAGCAAACTGCGCTTGGGTCCAGACTTTGGGGAGAATCCAGTGATGGCTTCACAGCATTTGGATCAAGTGTCGCCTTAGACAGTGGCACTGTTCAGTGAATGGCCTGAAATGCGTGTGGGGGTTTTAGCACAGCTGCTCTGTGCTGGCTGCCCTGGGGACACAGTCCCTGTGCTGATGTTGCACTGCCTCTGAACCTGCCCAGGTAAAACCTGGTGCACGAGGATAAGTCGTTCAGGAGAAGCTGATCTAAGTGCAGTGAACTTTGGAAACAAGCCCCTTTTACTGGGGTGGGTGGTGATTTTTTTGAAGAGATGGTTTGGCTGAGATGAAGACACTTTTGCCTTTCATGTATTACTGTTGATTGGAAGGAAGGGCTCAATGGATGCAGAGGAGCAAAGCTAAATACTGGGATAAACTTTCCACTGATGCCTCCAAGCACGGGGTATATTTTAACCTGAGCTGGTCCCTGGCTATTCTTCCAGCTGGGCAACAGTGGAAAGGCCACATCTGGCTACTATAGGACCTTATGACAAACAATRTTTTGGTAACTCGGTTGCCTCTGTGATGATTGGTGGTAGCTGCTTTGGAGCAATGACTTAGGTCTGGTGGAGGTAACTGAAACATGGTGATCACTCCAGCAGTGTGATACCTCATGGGATCCAGTGGATAAATACCTGGGAACAAAGGAGGTGGTTGGGAGAGAGAAATGCCATGGTATTTGCTATTTCTGAAATGCCAGAACTTCCCTGCTTCTGTTTCAAATACTACACTAGYCAATGACAAATCTGTGAGTGGAAGCTTACTTTCCTTCCTCCACCATTCAGAAACCTGCCTTCTGCCTGTAAGCATGGCAAGAGTAATGAAGTCTTTTGTTTTCAATTGCTGCAGCATCCCTTCTATGCCAGCCTCTTGCACTGCAAGCAGAGCTGCTTTTAGTCTTTGGTAGACTGCTCCTAGACATTGGAAAGGCTGAAGCAAAAATCATGGTATCAAAGTTATCACTAGAGCATGAATGGTTGGTCTGGTCAGAGTCTGCCACTAATAACCCTTCTTGTGCTCTGGACAGTAAGAAGTTCTAGGAAACTCTTCCAAACGTGTTAGTCTATAAAATTTGTTAGGTCTCAAACTGKCTGTTTCCTCTTAGGTGGAAGTCTCCAAGATGCACTGTTAGAAAATGCAAAACTTGGACGCTATTTCCCAGAAGCAGAGCTGAAAGAAATCTTGTTACAAGTCTCCATGGGACTAAAGTATATCCACAACTCTGGTCTTGTGCACCTGGATATTAAGCCTAGTAAGTAAAGCTCTGTCCTCCTTTGCCCTCTGAGTGCTGCCATCTCAATGCCCAGTGTTGCCTCTCTCTACTGGAGCTGTCGGTGCTTTGATGGAGAGAGGGCCTTGTCCTAGAAGCTGTGTTTGTGATCTTGTCACCACTGTTGCTCTAAAGCTGAACCTTTTTCTATAATTGGGAGAGTGTGTGTGGTGTGTGTGTGTGTGTGGGGGGGGGGGGTTATTTTACTTCTGTCTCATGACGGTTGTAATCTGGGATCATGGGAACAATCGCTCTTGCACCAGGGAAGCAATAGGGTCACTAATGAGGACAGGGTCTTCCTTATTCCTTGCTGCCTTGTTGCACAACACTTGACCTTTGTATGTGACAACTGAAGTGAAAAGGGAATATTTATTTCCTCTGTATCTAGCTAGAGATATTAAGTTCCTGCAGAGAATAAAAACAAGCTTTCCTCTTTGTGCTGCTGCTGGGCATGTGGACTGCACTTTTCTCCCTAAAGTCACATGTGCTGTTCTCCCTAAAGTCACATCCAACCTCTTTCTTGCTGAAATTTTGCTTCTAGCTTGGAGATCAGAGGGAAAGATGGAGATTTTGATCGTATCAGGGTATTTTATGTATGAGACATCTATCTTCTAGGGGGTGCTGAAAAGGTACCTTGCCTAGAAAGTAGCCAAAGGGGCAGGAAGCACATGCSATTTCAGTGGCTATGCAGCTTACACCAGCTTAGCTGACAGGGTGGGAGGTTGAGCAAGTTGCCAGGCTGCTCCAGYGAGGTTACCCAAGTGCCACTTTGCTAAACTGTCTTGCAGGTAACATCTTCATCTGCCACAAGCTGGTGGTTCAGGGCCCAGCAGGGCAGGAGGAGAGTGACAGCGAAGATGAGTTCTCTTCTGGTGTGGTGTATAAGATTGGTAGGTGTTACCTGGCTTTAACTGGCTCGGCTTCAGAGCATCTCACTACTCTTTGATATAGCTCTGTTCTGGTGGCTAAGATGCTATTTGCATGGAAAACTCATAACATAGCCCTGAATACCTTGGTGCTAATTTAAAATCAGTATCTCTAAAGAGAAAAGTTTGGAAGGAAAAAAAAAATCATCTCCTTGTCTTCCAAGCTCAGATACATGAGTAGAGGCAGGTGTGCCTCAATGCCAATAGTGTTATATTACTTTTACAGAGCRGACTGATTTTCAGTGAGACCTATGTCAGATGTGTTGATCAGTCACTATTTCTCCCCTTAGGTGACCTTGGCCATGTGACATCGATAACAAAYCCCCAAGTTGAGGAAGGAGACAGCCGCTTTCTGGCCAATGAGATTTTACARGAGGTACAGGTGGTGGAGTGGAGTATAAGTGGGTGAGGCCAGCTCTCGTAAAATCACTAGTCTGTCATTCCTTGTGAAGAATCCATGAGGAATCATGGTCCCCTATGTCCCATTTCACTGCAATCACTGAGAAGACCACTTTGTGAAGAATAGTGCAGACAAGTGTCTGTAGCACACCTCATTAGTAACCCAAATATGAGGTTACTGTAGCTATTTCACCTGCAGGGAATGAATGGAACAAAAGCTTTATGTGGTGGGTCTCTTTCTACTTATCCAGCTGAGATGGAGCTGCGGGATGTGACCACTGAGGAATGTATGTATCCAGACCAGTGCCCTCTAAGTAGTGCACAGAGGTAGCAGGCACAGCTGCATATTACTCAGGCCTTCTTAAGCTCTCTTTTTAAGCTGGCTTTAGCTCTGAAAAGTGAGGAAGGCATAGGAGTATAACAAGCAACCTGGATGTGCTTACCTGTTCAGATATTGAACACTCAAGAAGGATTGTGCTACAAATGAATTTGGAAATAAGTGTGAGGTTTGGCTTCAGCTCAATGAGCCTAGTTTGCCTAGTTGTCGTGAGGGTTGTGTGTGTTAGGTGGTCCTCTGGATTTGTTGCTGTGTCCCTAATGTGGGATGCCAGCCCCCAAGGACTGGGGAAAATGGTGATGTGCTATTAGTGCTAACGATGATGCTACCAATGTTACTTAATATCAAGCTTTTTCCTTCTAAAAAGAATATAACAAGGGTGATGGCAATGTCACACAYATACTTGTTCAACTCTTCTTGAGCTGGCACCCTCCCTCCCATCTCTTAAGGGCACTAAGTTTCCCTCTCCACCTGCTCTTTGCAGCAATACTGCTACCTGCCAAAGGCAGACATCTTTGCCCTGGCACTCACGATAGCCCTCGCAGCAGGCACGGGGCCACTGCCTCACAACGGGGCCATGTGGCACCACATCCGCAAGGGGAACATCCCACCAATCCCTCAGAAGCTCCCCCACAACTTCCTGGAACTCCTGAAGGTGAGGAGCAAGCCTTGATAGGATGGGGACTTTTCTCCAGGGGGTATGTGGCAAGTAGAGTTAAGTCCTGAACAACTTTGCCTTGCAGCTCATGATCCATCCTGATCCAGTGAAAAGACCTTCTGCTACAGCCCTTACTAAACACCCAGTTCTCCGTCCTTCCCTTGGAAAGGCTGTGCAGCTCCAGCAGCAGCTCAACGTGGAGAAGTGTAAAACTGCCATGCTGGAAAGGTAGGACTAGGGCATAAAGGGGAGGAGGTGATGCAGGTCTACCTGGCTTGAATGCAGGGTGCTGGTGCTGGGGGTTGGCTGGGGGTCTCCTCTGCTGGTTCCTGGGCCTGGAACTGGGGGCACAAGTGCCACAGTGAGGACTTGTCCTGTTAAGGGTTTCCTGGCTCTGACTTGGCCAAATCGGGGCAGGGAACTTGGGTGCTTAATGTGACCACTGGTGGTAGAAAGTACTGCTACAACACGCAGCCCATCCCACCCACCTCAGAGCTGTGCTCTGCTCACGCGTGATGGGGCTTCCTCCCTTCCTTCCTTCTGTGCCCTCCCTGCAGGGAACTGAAAGAAGCCCGCCTGGCGCAGAGCCTCCTGAAGGAGCAGCCCTTGGGAAGCGCCAAGCTGCAGGAGTGTGACACGACTTCCAACCCGAGCGGCAGGCGCCTGGTGGGAGGCAAGAGCTGCCGCTCGTTCAGCTTCACGCTGGGTTACTGAGCTGCCCGCGGCCCCGTGGGAGCAGGGGGGCTGCACAAACTGATGCCCTGCACTAGCCCTCTCTTTTTGACCCACTCTCACTAGAGCTGAACCGTGTGATTTAAGAATATTGCCCTCCGTTGTAYCTGTTGGTTCTCTTTTTTTGTGTGACAAGTCTTGTTATAAACCAAACGTAGTTCTGCCATGCAAGGGGGAGAGAGCAGAGGAAACTCCACCCGTCTAGGTGGATGCTGGCAGTGATTTTTGTGCTCTCAGTGCTTTGGCCACTAGAGAATCTCTAGAGGGGAGACCGGTGCCTGTACAAGGCTGTGTCCTCCTGGAACTGAGGTTGTTTGTGACAAACATCTTGAACTACATGTGAGAGGACAGGCTTGTTRCACTGCTGTCCGAGTGGACAGAGGATGCGTTTAAAGTGGCAATTAATTGAGGGTGGACAAAAACAAAAGGCAACACTTTTCAAGGAGGCCTTTCTTGTGGAAGCTGAGGGAAGCTTCCCATCCCTTAGCTTCCAGCAACACACCCTAAATCGAAGGGGGCTTGCTTTCTTGCGGGGTGGCTCCTGGAGCCCCCCTGGGTGTGTTCAGGTCTGCGAGGCCTCCCTGGGATAACAGGGGAGGAAATAACTCCCCCGTGCTGGTAGCAGGGCCTGTCTCTTTCCTTGCAGTTTCTCACACACGGAGCAGTCTGTGCAGCGCGGCGCTTCCAGCCAAGGCGAGGGAAGGGCGAAGGACCTGTGAGATCTTGTTGGTGCTTTGCTTGCAGCTGCCCGTGTCAASTGTGCCTATTGCTATTTAATAAATCTCATCTCCCTGTTAAAGGTGACCAATTTGTCAGATTTTATGCCTAGCTGAATTACAGCTGCACACAGTGTGTAAGTAAAAGGGAGAGTGAGTTTAATACCGAGTAACTCGGCTGCTTTTGCTTTTATTGATGCTAGACTTGTTTCCATACGCTGGACAGTGACTTTTAAACTTGTAATCATACTCGACTGGAAGGCATGCCCTGCAAATAAAGTTTTTAATGATCACTTTTACTTCAGGCGTCTGTTGTTGTCCTCCTCCGTTCCCGCTCGGCCGCGGCGGGGCCGGGCCCAGTTCCGCTCGGGAAGGGCCGCGCTGGGCCGGGGTGGCCGTCCCCCCTGCGCGGCCGCCGTGTTGTGCCCGCCCGTTTCCGCTCTCGCTTCCCGTCACGGGTCTCCGGTCCCGCCCCGCGGGCGGGCTCCGCTGGCTGGGAGCTGGCGCGCGTTTCCCGCCGGAGCCGCCTCGCGCCGCTCTCCGCCGCTTCCTTTCCGCTTCCGGCGTTGCGCAGGCRGGAGAGGTGAGGGCGGCGGGCGGCACGGGGGCCGGAGCCGCTGCCCGTTCCCGTTTTCCCTCCTCCAAGGCCGCCCYCGCTCCAGCGCTGCGCCGTCTCTTCCCCCCGCAGGCGGCGGCGGCACCACCATGCTGCGGCGTCCGGCGTGGCAGGTAGGGCCGCGTGCGGCGCCGTTGGCGGCGGTTTAACGGTCCCCGGGCGGGCTCCTGCGCGCCCCGCCTCCCTTCCCGAGCGGGTGCCGCTGCCTCCTGCGTCGCTAAATCCTGCCTTGGGAAAAGCCARGTCCCAGCTGTGGCAGGGGCCCATCAGGCTGCGTTTCCCAACAACACATAGGAGTGCCCTGTGTGCGGAGAAGAGGGCAATTCTGGTTGTGCTCTGTCTGTTTTGGAGAGTCCCTTGTTTATTGGGACAGGGCCTCCTCTTAGCTGCTGTGAACTGAAGGAGATGTTAAAGGATTTGCCCTGCACGTGGAGGTGGTCCCGGATGGTTTACCCATAAACCGAGCAGGTGCTCAGTCCTATCAATAGACCTGTATTTTGCAGTCCCCAAAGGACCCTTATTTTGCCATCATTGTCTTGGGCTTTAGTTCCTGGGTGCTCTCAGTCTCACCCTCCTATGGGCCTTGCAGCCACCTTGCAGTAGAAAGTGAAAGTTCTCCTCTGCTCATTCTTTCTTACAAGCCCTTTGTGGATTTTTCTGAACACTTTTTTTTTTTTTCCTTTCTTGGCATGGTATTTGCCAGCATTGACTTCCCTTTCTCCCGTGTTTCCTCTCACAGGACTTTCCAGGGTTTTATGGCCTTGAGCTGGTGTTTGTTTGGGCCTCTTACTGCATGTGGCAGCAGGATAAAATACATCCTTTTACTCTCTGTAGTAAAGCAGGAAAACAATGAAAATATAAAGAAATCCTTGATAATTTTGACAATTGTCTGCTTCCTAAAACTGAAGCTGCACCTTAAGGCCATCATTATTTTTAGCCAGATGTTTAACCCTACCTTAACTAATTGTTCTTTGAATAATCCTGTTGGCTTCATTTCATTGAAGTCAGTTCTCCTTCCTTCCCCACCGAAAAAATAAAGTTATCTCCTAAAGGGCTGAGACAAAGAGGAGAATATGAACAGTGCTCACACTTTATGTCCTGAAAACTCATGGATCTGTCTTTTTCCAGGTGCTTYGTCAGTTTGTAAGACATGAGTCCGACACCGCTGGCTCGTTGGTGCTCGAGAGATGTAAGTAGCTCCTGTGTGGTGCAGGTGCAACCCAGCTGATGGGTTTCCCAGTCCTAGCACCTCAACACAATTGAATCCTATTGTTATGTCTGAAAAAATGAAACTCATTTTTTTTAAGACATGCAAGATAATYTGACATCACATAGGAATTTTCCTGTGGAAAAAAAAGCAAAGGAATAGAAGAAAATAAGTAAACTTTGGCCTTCTAGATAGGGCAGTTGGGCAGTAGTAACAGTACAGGTGCAAGGACTGATTAAGCTGAGGGCCTCCTGTGATGGAATGATGGGCTGGAAGGATGAGGGGGGAGCAGAGGAGAGCAGTTGTTTGCCTTGACTTCAGCAAAGCTTTTGACACTGTCTCCCATAACCCCCTCCCAGGGAAGCTCAGGAAGTGCGGGCTGGATGRGTGCACAGTGAGATGGATTGAGAACTGCCTGGATGGGAGAGCCCAGAGGGTGGTGATAAATGGGGCCGAGTCCAGCTGGAGGCCTGTGGCCAGTGGTGTCCCCCAGGGGTCAGTCCTGGGTCCGGTGCTGTTCAACCTGTTCACCAATGACCTGGATGATGACACGGAGTGCACCCTGACTAAGTTTGCAGATGACACCAAGCTGGGTGGAGTGGCCGACACCCCGGAGGGCTGTGCTGCCATCCAGAGGGACCTGGACAGGCTGGAGAGTTGGGCAGAGAGGAASCTCATGAGGTTCAACAAGGACAAGTGCAGGGTCCTGCACCTGGGSAGGAATAACCCCAGGCACCAGGACAGATTAGGGGTCGACCTGCTGGAAAGCACCTCCACGGAGAGGGACCTGGGAGTCCTGGTTGACACTAAGTTAAGCATGAGTGAGCAGTGTGCCCTCGTGGCCAAGRAGGCCAATGGGATCCTGGCCTGCATCAGGAGGAGTGTTGCCAGCAGGTCAAGGGAGGGGATCCTGCCCCTCTGCTCAGCTCTGGTGAGGCCTCACCTGGAGTATTGTTGGGTGCAGTTCTGGGCTCCCCAGGACAAGAGGGACATGGAGCTTCTAAGGAGGGTCCAGCGGAGAGCAACAAAGATGATTAAGTGAATGGAACATCAATAGTATGAAGAGAGACTAAGCAAGCTGGGAATGTTAAGCCTAAAGAGAAGCCTGAGAGGGACTCTTACCAGTGTGTACAAATACCTTAAGGGAGGGTGTCAAGAGAATGGGACCAGACTCTTCTCAGTGGTGACCAGCAACAGGACAAGAGGCAATGGGCACAAACTGAAACCCAGGAAGTTCCATCTGAATTYRAGGAAAAGTTTCTTTACTATGAGAGTAACAGCCCTGACAGAGCTTTTCCCAGGGAGGCTGTGGAGTCTCCTTCTCTGGAGATCTTCCAAACCTGCCTGGATGCCACCCTGTGCCCCGTGCTCTGGGTGTCCCTGCTGGAGCAGGGCGGTTGGACTAGATRATCTCTAGAGGTCCCTTCCAACCTCAACCATTCTGTGATTCTGTAAATAAGGCAACAGTCAGAAGAACTTGAACAGTGGGAATTTACTGGAGGGCCCTGGCAAAAGCTGCGCACTTATCACAATAAGTAAAAAGTTCTAGTGTTGAAGAGGAGCTGATGATTATTAACTGTGTATGGATTGGCCCTTGATACCTCAGTGCATCTCACCTGCATTTGGTCTTTCACATTTCAGCCATGAATCGTGTACAGTTACTTGGTCGGGTGGGACAGGACCCTGTCATGAGGCAAGTGGAAGGCAAGAACCCTGTTACCATTTTTTCTCTGGCAACCAACGAGATGTGGCGTTCAGGGGATAGCGAGGTAGCCCAGGGAGGTGAGTATGAACTTTGTGTTTTTCTGTCCTTTGCCGTACTTCTGTTTGGGTGCAATGAGCACAAGATTGGCCACTAGGTGCAGTTCKGTTTCTTAAATCACTTTTCATCATTCGAGAACATCACCTTGTTGAAACTAATTTCTGAAGCTTGTGTAAAATGAGAATGTGGTTCCCAGCTGCTTCTTTTTATGCAACTCAGGTGATATCAGTCAGAAGACCACATGGCACAGGATCTCTGTCTTTAGACCGGGCCTCAGGGATGTTACGTATCAGTACGTGAAGAAGGGGTAAGTAGGTAAATAACAAATGTGTTTGTTGCACATGTGCTCTAAGAATTGATATAAAAATGATGGTGACCAGTAGTTGCATTAAGATAGAAGTGCCTTGTGGACATATGCCTCAAACAAGTGAGACAAAATCCTATGTGATCTCAGAATGAAATACAGAAAAGAGSAAAAGCGATGCTGTTCTCTAACCAGAACCAAATTCTTGATTTTTAGTGCTCGCCTCTTTGTCGAAGGGAAGCTGGACTACGGTGAATACACAGACAGAAACAACGTGAGGCGGCAGGCCACAACAATTATAGCAGGTAAGGAGCTTAACTCACCCAGGCCCACCTTGGCTTCTGAAAGTGGAGAGGGGCTGAGGACCTCTCGGATAGACCTGGGTTTGTCTCTATCCTCAGGCTCCACAGTAGGGGAATCTGAGAGAATGGATTGTCTCCCCTTAGCTTGCAGCCTGGGCCGGTAGGTGCCCTCCGGTACTGCTCATGAAAAGCCAYGATGGGAGAGCAAACACTGGGGCAKTACTCGCTGCAAAGAATGCCTGCACACAGCGGCTAGTGCAGCAGGGAGATACCGTGGGCTCTCAGGCACATAACCCTGCAGGCCAGGCGATTCATCTTCTAAGCAAAGTAGAGCTCATTTAATGGCTTTCTTGCAGGTTTGTCAAGGATTTTTTTTTCTGTTTAAGCCTAGAGACTCCAGTAGCTTTAAGGACCTCTATTTGTGTAAGATTTAACTTGGAGATAAGCTGATGGAGTCTCAGTCTGACCAATAATGATACAACAGGTACCCTTAAAGGGAGTAGGCTTCCTGCTTGGGTAGGCAGTGGAGAATTGAGAAATTGAACTTTTCTTTTGATTCTTTAAATAGCAGGAGAGTAGCCAGTGTCAATCTGGTCCTACTTCTTTGCTGTGGGTAGAGCCGCTATCTTGTGGCTTTTGGAGGAGGTCTAGAAGGCCTGGGCACTGAAGCAAATGTTTCTCTTACACAGCTGTGTCTAACAATATCAGGTCAGAGGAGAGGAAAATACATTTTTTCTACTTTTGAATGTTTTTGTAGTACAGCTTGTTTACAACAGTATTAATTAAACTTCTTCAGGAGCCAGCAATGCTGCAAGTTACTACTTATAAGTATCTGGAAGGGAGAAGTAAGACTGTTTTTTTTTTTTTCTTGTTTGCTTGATTAGCATTTATCCTATTGAATTCTTAGTATTCAGTATCCCTGGTTCCATAAAACCCATTCCATAAAACCTTTGAGCCTTGAAAAAATACAGACTTCCTCTAGTCCTGTAGGCTGAAGACATGGGTAGTGCCTGCTGGAAATGGAAAAATGAAATTAGCTGTAACTACTATGGATCCTAGGTATCAAAGACTTAAACTCTGATTTCAGAGTGTTCTGATAGCTTTGCTCCTTGAGCAGCTTGTCATAAGGTTCAGTACACTTGCCTGAGAGTATTTATGGTCATGTTGAATTATCTGCCTTCTGAGGAGGTAGAGCAAGAGTCCTGTCAGACACTTACTTCATGAAATGCTCTGAAATGAAGTCTTTGCAATTTATTTTACCACAAATATGTTGTCTGTGTGACTGTGCAGGTTTTCAGTGGGACAAAACAATCCTGAAGATGAAATTCTCTTTATTTCTTTTCAGATAATGTAATTTTTCTGACTGATAATATCAAAGAAAAGGCATGAGGTTGCTAGTGCTTGGACCCAGCCCATTTCATTGCTTTCATTTTACAGTGTATCATAATTCTGTAATCATGCATATTGCTGTAGTTTCTTTAAAAAAATAAATAAAATATTTGATAGGGAATGTGTCTGGGCATGTTTTGTTGTGTTATTGTGCGATTTTCCTTTGTGCTTTTTTTTTGTTTGTCATTTGCTGAACTACTTTCTTTTTTGTTGTTTCTTCTGAGGAAATGGTAATCCCTGTGGCAGCATTGATTTCTGAACTGAATATATATATAAAGGGGAATTATCTGCCCCAATCTTAAGCCATTTTCAGAACATTTTTTCTTGGTTGTCATTACTGTCACTCTTCTGTCCCATAGAGCTTAACACTGTAGTTGCCTCTTACTGCTGCTCTCCCTCCTGTGTTCCATAGGTGTCTTCTTTAAAGATTACTTCAGTTAGATGCTCTGATAAACCAGAGCCATTGGCCTCGACTAGTTCTTGAAGTTTGTTTTTGTTTCAGACTCAGAGAAGACCTTGTGCCCGTGAGCCTGCCCCTCCCTTGAGTATGATCTTGGGTCAAATAAGACACTGTGTCTCAGCAAATCCTGCTTTGGTTATCTCCATAGATCCTTGTTATTATGGCATTTTGTCATTTTGTGACTGTTACAGTGCTGAAAGTCTCACTTCAGCACCTGGCTGGGGTGCTATGGCTGCCATTGGCCATCAGGAGGAGCTGCGAGAATGCCTGCATTTTGAGAGGCAYGCAGTGCTGTGTAAAAATAACATTCTGGGTCCAGGATTCTCAGCTAACGTGGGCGTGCCTAGTTGCATTTCTTATCTTTTGACTTCGGTTCCATTGCAAGGAAGACTGAAAGCTTTTAGCATTGTTAGTTAAAAAAAAAAATAAAAAGGCACAGCTGAAAAGGTACTTCTTTCTGCTACCTAGTTAGAGAAGTAGTGAAACTCCCACTGATAGCATGTGGTGTGAACAGGGAAAGAGAAGGGTTAAAGGTGGCAAAAATTCCTGCTTTCAAATGGAGGGATGGGATTTTTTATCTTACTGCTGGTAGGGTTTTACTGCTTTCTAAGCATAGTACAGGTTGTGTATATATATATATATATGTATATACTTTTCTCTGTCTCTTTGTCTGATGCAGTGGTCTTCGTGTTTATGCTCTCCTCCGTGAGCATCAGTGGTATTTCCAAAGAGCTGAAGGGCATTTATTTCTGGATGAAGGTAGTGCTTTCACTAGAACACTAATACGTAACTTGGATACTGTGRCCGGAAATACCTAGTGAGTTAAACATGTTGTCATCCACATGAGGTTGTGCTCTCTTTTTAAATAGGAAGTTGAGGCTTTAATTACAGTAGCTATTCCTTGTTAGATMCGAGCCTGCTGTACTGGTGCTACTTTGCCTTACCTGTGTGAAGAACATAYTGTGCTTCCCTGGGGCTGGAAAGAGACCAAGCACTTAATGGTTAAAGCCTCAGTGTGAGCTAAACCCCGGCAGTCCCGGGCTTGTAGTATTGCCTGGCACTTCCCACTCGTTGCTGCCTATTCCTTTGATATAAATSGTTGTTCACTGTCACCTGCTCTCGTTACTCCTGCACGATGCTGTGTGGCTCTGCCCCGCTCGGGTGACGGCAGCGGAAGCGCTGCAGGGCAGGCACGTGGTGCTGCTTCCGTGCCCGGCCGAGGGATGCAGGAGGGCAACCCGGGCAGCAGGATAGATGTGAGGGATGTCTTGTCAGCTGGGAACTCCTGTAGGTTTATTATAACGGAGCCTCTCTGAAGCTGTTTGTGTTTTGCCTGCACAGTTCTTTGGGGCAGCTAAGATCTGTCTTAAGCTCTCTTTGCACCTGGGAAGCCCCTTGTGATCTCTAAAGGTGCCTTCCAACCTTAAGGATCCTATGATTCTATGCAGGGAAGGGGCTGTGCCTCTTTTATTTAGGGTTTGCTTCTCTTCTGTGCCCTGCTTTGATGGTGGAGGCTCCCAGGGCTCATACAGCTGCCAGAGCCGCTTTGGAGCTCGGGAACTCGGGAACTTTTGTGCTCCGGCCTTGGGACAGAGGTGGCAGCGAGGACTCCCTGCACTGCTGTGAATCTTAGCCAGAAGCCTCCTCGGGAGGGGCGAGGGCTGACGCGGTTCGTGCTGGTTTCTCCCTGGTGCAGGATGAGGACAGAGTTGAGCCAGCGCGAGATCCTGGCTTAGGTGCRAGCAGGGAAAATATTTGCTCAAGAACTTACGCTTTTCTTGCTTTTCTGGTTCTTCCCTTTAAAGTCGCTAATAAACTTGTAGAGATTGCTGTGTTGTTCCTGCCCCGAGAACATTCTGTTTGAAAAGCCATGGAGTATCTTGGATGTTCATCACGGTTTTGTACGAGGGTAGATTTTTGTAAGTRATACTGCCTTAGCGATAGACGTAGTTACAGCGAAAATAACCAGTGGCAAAGGCTTGTTGTGCTTGCACCTCCCACGTCTGCTTTGCTGCTGTTGGGCGAGTTAATCTACGACAAAGGAATTTTGGATGAAATTAAGAGGAAATAGAGTGTAAAATCATCTCGCTCTCCCTCTGTCTTCCTTAATGGCACTTGCTCTGTAAGGGAGTGCAGAAGAATGGAGACAAGTCTACTGTGTTAAATGTTGTTTTATCTTTTTTGTGTCTAGACAGTGAGGATTTGTCCATGCTGTCTCATGGTAAACGACACTCAACTTTTGCTTGTCCCCCTTAACCTCACGTGTAAACAAGGCTAAGCAGACCCTGACTGCTGGCATCAGCTGGGGCCTCTGAAGTGTTTCATGTTCTTAAGGAGCTTCCGTTGCTTATTTATAGAGATAGATTAGGGGAAAAAGGGATGATTTGTCCAAAGAATGACAGGGCATTTTAACCAAGTATTTGAAGTGTTTCATAGCAGCCCTGAGACATGTAAGGGACACTTCAGCGTAGTGGGGCTGCCTTCTTTGACAGGACCCTCTACTCTTACTTCTGTTGCATGGATTCGTGGATCAAACATCTGAGGACAGACTGGCAAAATGGGTTAAGAGTGACTGAGAGCTGGAGTTGCTGTAGACTTCCCAAAACCCTTTTACCACCGAGTGTCTGCTTAGACCTCACAGCTGCCTGACGACTCTCTCCTGGGCCCTGCARGAGAGGGAGGTGTTTGAGCCTTGTCCCAGCCCTCTCTTGTGAGCGCTAGCATCGTCTTCGGGAGTCTGATAAAAGAGCAGCCATGAATTGCAAAGGCAGGAAAGCTAAATTAGAGCTTTGAGAAGTCTCTGGGAACAGGAGGGAGGAATATTCTGGTAAAGGCAACTTAGGTTTCTGTCAGTGTACCAATTATGTGGCTTTAATAGCAGGCTGCCTCCCGTACCGGCCATCCCACATCTTTCATAAGTGTTCATGTCAGAGAAGGAGCATAATGCCAGGATTGTAGGAAGAGAACTTAACTATTCCGAGGCACAGCTTCTATTTTTAACTTGGAAATTTCTGTGGTGGAAGCCTTTTTTTGCAGTTGAACGTGTCCATAGATACAGACTWAGATTTGGCCGCTGTTTTGGCCAGATCCTGCCTTGTTTTCCCTTGCTGGTGCTGGCTGGGGGGGAGCTTCTTCACAGAGCAGTGTGATTCAGAGCTTCTTTRCACAAGAAATGTGTTTGTTCCATGTTTGCATGGCACATCCTTGGAAAGGAAACAGTTTTCATGGGCTTTCTACAGAGAGATCATCTTGTGGGAAATGACTCTTAGTTTGTATAAGGTTCTTTATTTGCTTGTAGCTTTATGTCCTAGGTAAGATACTGGCTAGTTATTCACATGCTCTGCAATTTCAAAGCAATCTCCAGCAACTACTGCGATCAGAAGCTGATAGTCAAGCCATGTTTTGTATTATTCTTAGTACTAAGGTTTGTGCACTGCATTTTCTAAGAGTTGCTAATTTTGTTGAAGAAATTTGCTTGCTCTAAAAATTGCTTTTAAAATGGGTTTTAGGGGATAAGATGTTTAATTTGTTCTTTCTGAAAGTAAGTAACAATTGCTGTGCTGCGGGCTCTGTTCCTATTTGTCTTTTTCTTGCTGGGTGACTTTTAAAGTTTCTTTAAACAAAATGGCTTTGGTAAATGGGTGGTTCTTTTGATCCCAGTTGTCACAAGTCAGAAAAAAATGTTACCTGTAAATATTTATTGAGCCTTTGTGCARCTGACCTGATCTAGAACTGAGTAACGCGGTCATGAGAGTCACGGCTTCAGCAACCCGGATGCAATGARAAGAGAGCAGCTTTCCTTTGCCAGGCGTTCTGGGAGTGACCGTGCAGGCTTGCATTATTGCTAGTTGTTTTCCCTCATAGTAAAAGTTAATGCTGTTTGCTTGGAGTTCTACCTTAACAGCCCTCTCTTTCTCAGCTAGGTTGGTTTTCCGTGTGGGTTTTCCATGTGGTCAGTGATTCCTGCCAAAAGGCAACACGGTGCCGAGCAAAACGGAGTCCTCCTCCCTTCAGCCTGCTGCTGTGCAGGAAGGGCAAACTTATCTTCTTGTAGACTGATGATCAGTTTTTTCACTGTGCTGTGTACAGGATAGAGAGATCAAATGTGCTTCGGAAGTTTGTGGTGAGGAAATGGAGATACACAAAATACACAAAAGGAGAGACCAAAATGCTCACAGATGACTCGGAACCTACAGCTGCTTTAGTAACATTTTTAAGAGGAAAGCTATGAAAGGCTGAAAAACTGCCTTGCTGGTTTTCTAGTTTCCAATGACAACTTTAAATCCTCCCAGCTACACGGGAAAAAGTTAAGAGGAGAGCTATGTCTGAATAACGTTCTTGCCATTTTTGTGGTGGCGTGTGTCTTGCCACAGTGTCTCTGTTCTGCTGTAATGGGASTTAGTGAGTAACAATGCACAGTGTGTTGGACTGCTGTCCTGTGCATTGTACAGGGTGCTGAATAATTACTATTCCCTGGAAAGGACTGATTTCCTCCAGTTTTACTTACTCCTTCTTGGTGTCCTAWGTATGCTGACAATTTTTAGCACTAGCTTTATAATTCTTTGAAAGAATAACTAGTTCTGCACCACAAAAACTTCTCTGTGGCCTAAATGCTGTTACTTGCTCCCTTACCAGGACACACTGTGCCATGTGTTTAGCTGTGTTTCCTTACAAAGTCTTGGGGATCTATTTTAGAACTGTTAAGGCTCCAGAATGAGAGGTAACACTGATAATATGGCAGGCACAGGATGTCTAGGGTAAGCTAGTTATCAGAGTCATGTTTTGTATTAATAGCCACAGAAATGGATGGTTTCTGTGCATTGAAATATTTCTGTGACCAAAGAAATCCACCAAGATGCTTCCAGGTACTCGGTAGCACCATGTAGGGCAACAGCGGCTGTGCCCACTGTCCTTAGGAAGGTGCAGAGGAAGAGGGAGACAGTTTTAAATCACCCAGAGAGAGTGGAAATCAGTGGGGAGGGCAGCATGGTCATAGTGCAGGGTGTCTAATCTGTCAGGCAAAGTGTCCCGTCACACGAGGGCAACAGGCAGAAGTACCTACTGTACAATTTGTATCCTTCCTAAGTGCTTCCTCCTGGGAAGTGTTCTAGGAAGAGAAAGTTCAGCCCACTGACCTCTTTCTGTCTTAGTTCAGATATTGTTTTGCTGGCTTACAAGGCCAGCATGGCTGTGCCATTAGATTTTCACGCAGACAAAATATCTTTCGTCGCATTTAAGAAATTCTCTTGTTGCAGAAAGTAGTTTTACAGCAATTCAATGTTAGTCAGCAGTTAGGCTGGTGGAGTCTTTTGTTAAGTGGGTTATCACAAAGCTGCAGAAGCCTTAAAAGTAAGAAAACATCCAATAAAAACATGGAGGTTTCTGGATAAGGACCTGCSCTGTGAGAGTTTTACCCTGTACATCTCCTGGGGCTGGCCCAGTGTAATTACTTGGACACCAGTGGGTCATAAGGACCGGACACAMGGAGTTTGTTCCTGAGGTCAGACTCCCCAAAGTGGTAGGTAGCAGTTTGCATGCTAGTAATTTGGCTTCACATGTTTTCTGTGGTGATGAGGGCCTATACTAGGCTGCTTTGTTTCACAGTAATTCAAAATAACTCATCTTTGCAGGAGATAATTGGTGAGGCAGTTAGGGAAATTTCCTTTTTGATCAAGGAAAACAAGAATAACTGCTGAAGGGCCGTGAACCCCAGGAAAATCACCATTCTTCTTCCCCTTGGCATCGTGTCGGTGCCTCGTGGCTGGTGGGAAGTGCTCGTGGTTCTGTTCTYTCCAGAGGGCTGAGCTTGGCTCTCCTGAGCCAGGACTGTGCCACTCGGGACCCACAGGTGTTTGCTGTGTGACTGAAACGGTGTCTTCCAGGAGATGAAATCTTAAGTGGGGACCGAAGGGGATGTGTAACCTTTAGAAGAGCAAGTACGGAACCAGGAAACCCAGTTACAATTTGTGTTAAGGGACAAGCAACGTGGAAATGGCAAATATTTCTGAACTGGACCACAAGAAGATGCTTTGATTTCGTTCCAAGAGCTGAAACAACGTATCAAAGAAAGCCCAGTATCTGGAATTGCAAGGACTGGGCATCTCTCATTCTTAGAGTGATGAAATGCCTCTGTTATCCCAGCTGGGAATGACGCTAAGCCTTAAAGATGAGAACTTCCCATTGCCTGAGGTAACTTCTGCTGCGGGTTGGCGGGCGCTCTGGGGCAGTGTTAGCGTGAGGGAGCAGAGCAGTCTTTGCCGTGAGAGCCTTGCCTGCGCGGAGCGTTAGGGCAGAGGCTCTGCCGAAGCAGCAGTTTTCCACAGTGTCCATCGCGAAATGCCCGGGGACCGGCGGGGATGTCCCCGCGCCGGGACACTCCTTGCCGCCCATGGAGCTCCCTGGGGTGAGGAGGCCGGAGCTGCCGGTGCCGGAGCGCGAGGGAGGCTTCCTGGGCGAGCCCCGCGCTCCGGCCGGCGGGTCTGTCTGTGCTTTGGGGAYCTTGCATCTAAATAAGTATCCTGCCTTGTTTGTGTTTATTGTTTTTATTATTTGTTATTTCACTTATTTGTTTTCTCTCTCTCTCTCTCAGGAAACGTGATTTCCGGGGGTGCTCCGAGGCGCGGGCGCTTCGCGCCGCAGCTTCGCGGCCCAGCGGCGCCGCCGCCGGCCGCCCCTCAGCGCCCACCGGCCCCTCCGCCGGGGCGGGGCGGCGCGCCGCCGCTGCAGTCTTGTCGCTGCCTCATTGGCTGGCGTGCCCGTCACTCGCGCCGCCCGCGGCTTCCCATTGGCCGGGGCGCGCGCGGCGTGGGCGTGGTGAGGCGCAGCGCGCGTGGGGGAGGGGAGAGGTCTCGCACCTCCGCCCACGCAGTGACGCGAGGCCCCGCCCGCATTCCACAGCTGGAGCCCTGCGGGCAGCGAGCACCGCGCGCTGATTGGGGCGCGCCCGCGCTCCTCGCGCGCCTATTGGCGGGCCGCGCGGCGGGGGGCGGGCCCTGGCCGGGACGGTGGGTGTGGGGGGGTAACGGTCCGCCCCGGCCCCCAACGGCGGCGGCGGGTCCGGCAGGGCCCACGGGCGCGGCGTGAGCGCGGCAGCCGCTCCGTGCCCGGTGTCCCGTGCCGGGCTGCCATGGAGGTGTGCGAGAGCGGCGAGCAGCCGCCGCTGCTGCTGCACTGGGACCGCAAGCTGAGCGAGCTGTGCGAGCCCGCCGACCCCGAGGCTCTGCTGGGCCACACGGTGAGGAGCGGCGGGCGAGGGGGGCGCCGCCTCCGCCGCCCACGGAGCGGCCTCGGACACGAGTGGGCGGGTGCGGGGCCTCGGGGTGGCGGCGTCCTCCCCGCCGGCACGTGCTGCGCTGTCGCCTGGGTGCCCTGAGCCCCCGTTCGGGGCTGCCAGCGACGCCGCGGGCGCCSGAGCCGAGGCCTCGACATGTCCCTTGGTGCCCCTCGTTGCCCGGCCCTGGGTGCCCTCCGAGGGGCTGCCCGTGTCTCCTGTGTTGCCACCAGCTGCTCTGGCCCTGTCCCAGTCCCTGGTGTCCCCCCAGTGCAGGAAGGAAGTGACTAACTGTCCTGCTCCGCGTTGGCACCCGGACAGGACCACGCGAGCCCAGGGCTCCCTCTGCTCCCCCTGCACCCAGCCGGGCTGTTGTCACTGTGTTGGTTCTCAGGAGAAGCATCGCAGAGAGGTGCTACGGGAAGGGGATCCCTTCAGAGGGTTCCTCACCGCTTGCTTAGAAGGCCACCCGTTTTGCACGTTGGCCAGAATCTGCACGGTTTCGCTTGTGCAACAGGTAGCACTCCAAAGAAAAGCATCTTTGTATCCCTGCTGCGTGGCTGCCCCGCGGATGCGGACGGTGCCTGCGAGCGCAGAGGTTTCCCGCGGCGGCGGCGCCGTGGGCCCGCGCTGCCCGTGAGCGGCCGCGTGCGCGGCACAGCACAGCRCTGCACCGTGTGTCGCACACGCACACGGCCGTCGCACACCCGTGGTACCGCGAGGGCAGTGCTGGCACCCGGCAGCTCCTGGGAAAAGGTGCTTGGTGGTGCCGGCTCTGGGCCTGGCTCTCTGGTGCGTTCCCMACACATGCGGGCTGCTCTGGGAACGTGTCAGTCACCAGCTCAGCTGGTGGCAGTGGAGAGCAGGGCTGTCGCCTGCTGCGACTGTTTTTAAACATCGTTTAGCCCCTCTGCCTTTGAAAGGTCTTTTGCTTTCTTGTGCAACGTGTATCTTCTGCTAGACCTGGGGGAAAGCAGGAGGTTCTTGTATTTTTTAAATAAGCCAGTAGGAACACTTTARAAGCTGTCTGTCCTTACTTCACACAGCTGTTTTGCTGTGTGTGTCTGTGTGTTTTATTGTCTGTTTGTTTTGAGGGGTATATTTTTAGTTTAACCGGATTAAAAGGAAGGTTGTGAATGAGATGAAAGGCCCGTGTGAGAGTACTCACTGCTGGATTTCACTCTTGTGTGGGGATATTTCCTCTTGCTTGGCGCAAATTCTTGCAGTGAGAAGAATTAGGGTGCCACTCAGTTTTTATCTTTCTGCTTAGTCTTCTTGTACTCTTTTAATTAGTGCCCTGAAGGAGGTCTTGCTCTCCGGTTAGAACTTGTAGCCGCTCCGAAATGGGAATGTCTGCTGTCTGTCTCATTTCAGGGAGCCCATCTCTTGGTGTTWAATGTAGCCTGAGGGACAAAACATTCCGGCTGTCTTGTGAATGGAAATATGGTGCTTCTCCATTTTCAGTGTTCAAGTTTCTTAGGATTTTCATRCTTTGGAAGCTGTAGCAATGTGTATTTTGCAAGAGGGAGCGCATAGCTGCGCCTGCAAAACCTTGGCACGTATCCTGCCTTGCTGGGAGGAATGAATTCTACCTGGACATTGATTTTAAGGAGCTCATAAAGAGGCAGCCTCTCTAGGGACTATCTTAAAATGAATTCAAGAGCATGAAATCAAATTAACTTTTACTGTTGAATGAATTTGAGTGAAATCATTAATAAAAAAATAAATATAAGCAGCTAAGTGCCGTGAGTAAAGTAGGTGTGGTGGGATCTTTAAAGATAARAAGGTTTTCTGTAATGATCTCTCATGAGAGAAAATATGTGTTTCTGCTTGTCATACTTTATTTCCAGCTCTGGAGGAAAATTGTGAAGCACAAACTCTACTTCAGAGTTTCTTATAATCAACTTAAAAAGCAAAACAACCTCCCATCCCCCTCCACACACAACTCTGGATGAGACAACTGTTATTTTCCTGCTTTATGCTCTGGATCACAGAAGACTGGCTKGACCCAGGAGCTGCTGCTGCATGTGAACATCTTTGCATGGTGTTAGAGCACCTAGGTGATACGTTGACCCTCTTGTGCTCTCTTTTTATGGGTGCCTGCGGCCCACGCCGTCCTATTCACAGAGAGGGACACGTGCCGTGTGGCATCTTCTGATCTCTGCGTGCTCTTGAGGCAGGCCAGAGCTGCAGCTGAGGTGCTGCAACATTGGTTGGCGGTGCTACATGGGTGTTACCCTAAAGGATGGACTATTGCCACGGTGCAGGGCACCCGCAAAGCTTATTCCTTTGCCTAAGTGGAACTGGGGGCCCAGGGCAAGAATTGGTCCTGCGTTCTCCACACAGCTGCATGTGCAAGTTTGTGTTCAGAAAACTTCTAAGGTGGCTTCAGAAACGTGTTTGGGGGAGCCGCGCTGTCCTGGAGTGCACGCCAGGCCGGCACGGGGAACGAGGGCAAGGGAGAAAACTGAGAGGAGGCCTTGGAAGCAGGAAGAAGGATATTTCCCTGTGAAGTCAGACCTGCGTGTGCAGACACACAAAGGGAAGAAATCTCTGCCAACTGCCTTTTGTGTATTTTAAGTTACATTTTAACCTTTTAGCTCCCACGGAAGCTGCTCRTGGGGTCTGCTCGATGGTCTGAAGCCAGCAGACAAGTATGAAAGTATGCACACATGTAAAAGCTCAACCTACTTTCGAGACTATTTCAGCCTTAATTACCAGGGCCAAATCCAGCCTCCCGGGGATTTACATTTCTGTTTAACAGCTGGTGACTTCAGCAGTGCGAGGAGCAGTTTCCCCGCTTGGCTCTAGGTGCTGGTGATCTCATCGGCTGTGCTGGGAGAAACACGGGGCCTGAGGCAGCTCGCCTGGGCCTTGGCAGCAGCCGTCCTTCAGGTGGCTTGTTAGCAGCTGCGCATTTTAGAGAGATCACCTGCATGCCAGAGAGCTCCCTGGCAGCTAGGTTTTTCCACAGCAATTTAATTTAGCAGCTGAGAAGAGGCTAAGAGCCTTCCCAAGGATGTTTGCACAACATACATGATGTGTCTGCAAGTACTGTGTCTGGTAATGCTGCGTCCTAGTGTTTTACAAGGTGTTAGTATGGTTATTGTGTGATTGTTTTTCTGGCAGTCCAGTGGAAAGGAGGTTCAAACCCTGCCATTCCCCAAAGAGAGCAGAGGTAGGTTGGGTTGCAAGTTCTCGCCTCCTTGTCAGGGCTGTTGCTGCCTGTGAAACGCAGACTGACGTGGAGTGGGAGAGCTCTGCTCGTGCCGGGGGGGCTCTGCCCCTCGGCATCCTCGCTGGTAAATGCCGAGATGGACAAGCCTGCTGACAAAGGTGCTGCGAATGGCAGCTGCCTGTCCCCGGCTGCCAGGTGGCAGTGGAAAGGCAGCTCCAGTTGTTTACTTTTACTATTAGCTCTTGGTGGCTGCTGCTTCCACACGACAGCAACACGCRGATGAAGGTGAGCGTGGCTGGAGCTGGGCGCTGCAGGTGCAGASCTTCACCTGCCCTACAGGTTTGTGGGCGCAGCGGTTGGCTGAAAAGTTAGACCAGGGTTCTGTGATGTGGCAGCCTGATTATCTTGTGGGTTTTAGTAGCTAGGTGGAAGGCATGGCAACTGCCAAGCAGCCCAGGTTGCTCATCCTTTTCAGGGCCCAGCTGCAGGACTTGCAGTTCCTGTCAAAAATTGAAATGCCTCAAATATATAATGACTGGTAGAATATTTTGAAGGGTGTTTGAGCTAGATAAGCTGCTGTCATGTCACTGATGTCRCTGATGATACTACGAGCCTAAAGTAGCAAATGTGCACAAAGCAAGCATGTATACAGCAGCGTGGAAAGTTTCAGCCTCTGGACTGTGATCTCCCTGTGAGAGCAAAACCAAAACAGCTTGTCCTTGAAGGCTGGAGTGCAGAGCTGTGCTTGCCATCCGAGAAGAGCCGGGAAACTTTGAGCCAGGCTCAGATAAAAGCTGCCCCTTGCAGGCTCCTGCATCTCCCCAGGAGCCCTTGGTGACTCATTTCCTCTGTGCACAAACACTGACGGCTGCTGCTTGGTCTTCTGATGACTTCTGCAGGAGGAGCACGTTTGAGCGAGTGCCTCGGCCTGCCTCTGTTTTTCGGAGTATGGCAATACTCAGCTGCAAACAAATACACTGCATGATTTTTACTGTCTCCGTATTTAATTAAAAGCGGCAGTCACCCCAGCGCGTACGGACAGGGAGCTGATTGTGTCTTAAGCCATGGTGGCTGTGTGCACATAAGGCAAAAATCCAGTGCTAATGCTGCCCGCTTTCGTTTTCTTGAAAGTGTGGGTTAGCCTATTGCCTGCTAGCAAGAAAGCTCAAGTCCATCGTGTGTTCTTCTCAGCACATCTTCATAAGGAGCAGCAGCTAGCTAACTCTAACTGAAGAGCTTGTAAAATTAACCGCAGCTTCAAGGATTTTGCCTRAATTCTTCCATAATAAAGGGGAAAGCATGGAACTGAAATAGCTTTATGTAGACTTGTTGCAAAGCAGAAGTGTTAAATTTTGAGAATGACTTCCCATATTAAAAGCACCAGAATCCTAACTGATRAAGAGCAGAGCTAGTTATCCGGAGTACGTTACAAGGAAAGCCATTCCCTCCTTCCCCTCCTTTTGGCAAGGAACCTGCCGGGTACCTGTGATGGTTCTGAACTCAGAGTTTCTCTAAAAGCTGAGCTAGGTGCACGTGTGATCCTTTGAAACTTTAGCCTTGCCCTCCTGCTTTCTGTCAGCTAAGTTTAGAAAAAGAAGTGTATTGGGTTGCTGGCTGGGTTTCACTTGGCCTGGGAGGATCTGTTCAGCGAAGTAAGGTTGAGAGCTGGAAAAAGCATTCGTCTGTTCTGGGACTGACTTTGGAGTGTGGCAGATAAGAATGAGCCAGTGTTTAATGTACACAAAATATTTTTTTTTTTTTTCCCCCCTGTGGAGTCACCATTCTG